TGGGGGGAGTGTTTGGCATGCCAGTGCCTTCCAGCCTCTGAAGACGGGCTGGAGGAATGCAGTCCTCTCTGCCTCTCCCAGCAACTCCATGAGCATCACTTCAGACTGCAACACAAAGCACTGCTGAGCTGCAAAAGCTGGTGATCGTGCAAGCTCCCACAGCAGGACCAAGTTTAGCTTATTTTCAAAATAACCCTGGCTCTCCTCTGGAAAAAACAGGGGAGAGAGGATGGTTACACGATGGCCCCCTGAAAGCTACAAATGCCTCTGTGAGCCTATAGCTACACGTGCAGACAAGAATTTAATGCCTTTCTACTGAAGCCTGCTCTGCAGAAAGCTCCACCAACACAAGACACTTCACACCACTGCAAGCTGAGTTATCATCTTGCTGCTGCTCCCCAATGGTAAAAAACATCAGATTTCCTGCAGGAGTGCAGAAAACTATGCATGCCCAGGATCTTGCATTGCAAGTTCACAAAGTTTAGTTACAATCTGAAATCTGTCTTTGGAGTAGAGTTATCTGACAGGGACAACACTGTGACGAGAAACAAGTAACCTAATTTCAGCTCAGCTGAGAAAGCTGTTGTGCCAGACTGACATCACACCATCAACCAACTAGGCATTCCATCCCCTTCCACAAGCAGATCCTGAAACCCTGAAGAGTTAAAAAAATAATAATAAATAAATACTGGAAGGAGATTTTAAAAATGCCAGAAGAGTCATATTCAATGACACACCAAAAAAAGAAAAAGGAAGCTAAAAACCAAACCGAAGGCTGACTTCTATTTTGAAGTCTTCTCTATCCATATCCTTTCCCTGAGAAGCTTTGTAGAGAGATCCCTACTCTAAGAAAACATGACTTTAAGTGATAAAAATATTTGTATTAGAGAAGATGATGAAAATACGCATCTGAAACTACTAGTCTGTTTTCCCCACTTTCTAATTTACCCACCTTATGCATTTTAAGCTTTGTATTGAGTGCAAATGGCAATACAGCTTTCACCGCTATTACAGCCTGTCACGGCCATTCCACATCCCATTTATCCAAGTTAGAAATTATCTTTTCATTTGTAAACAACCACCCTTTACACTCTCCCTGCAGTACAGAAGACAAATTAGAGTTAGCCTGCCTCCTACACACTCACAATCAGCCACAGAAACCCCACTGCTGGAAGCACAGAGCAGCTCCGGCGAGGGCGCACAATGGGGCCCCTTCATCCCCCACAGTGGCTCCTCAGTGCTGGAGTACTGTGTTCAGCTGTGGGGCCCCCAGCGTAAGAAAGACAGGGACCTGCTCAAGCGGGTCCAGAGGAGGGCCACAAAGATGATCAGGGGGCTAGAGCACCTCCCCTGTGAGGATAGGCAGAGAGAGTTGAGGTTGTTTAGCCTGGAGAAGTCAAGGCTCCGGGGAAACCTTATAGCAGCCGTCCAATGCTTAAAGGGGGCCTACAGGAAAGATGGGGAGGGACTGTAACACAGAGTGTAGTGATAGGATGAGGGGTAATGGTTTTAAACTGAAAGAGTGTAGATTTAGATTAGATATTAGGAAGAAATTCTTTACTGCAAGAGTGGTGAAACACTGGAACAGGTTGCCCAGAGAAGTGGTGGATGCCCCATCCCCAGAAGTGTTCACGACCAGGTTGGATGGGGCTTTGAGCAACCTGGTCTAGTGAAAGGCATCCCTGCCCATGGCTGTGGGGTTGGAACTACATGGTCTTTAAGGTCCCTTCCAACCCACACCATTCCATGATTCTATGAAAGCCCCATCTCCATACGGAGAAGTATTACATGCAGACAATGCATGGGAGGTATCCGTGAACAAGACAATCCATTGAATTTCCTATCTTCTAACTCCAGGGGAGTTAAAAAAAAAAAAAAAGGTCACAGCTGATTATGAATGTGCATCACAAGCAGGAAAAAGCTCAAGTTGTAAAGCTATTCAGCTTGAAGGCATTTAGTGTGGTGTATGCCTGGTTCACATGGTTTAAGGGACAGGGCTGGCATCTCCTCCTCAAGTCTACACCTCCACTGACCCTGCTGCCAGCAGGCAAACACAGTAACCACACTGGAGCTGCCTCGTCACCACGTGCAGCATCAGGTCTCTTAACACCTGCTTTTATAAGCTCACTGCTGTCATGCTTTCGAGGTGTTGTCAGCACAGAGATAACATTAATGGCTCCGCAGCCAGGGAGGGAGTCTTCAAAGTAATTGGCCTAAATGAGCAGTCAAATTACTACCAACTTACCTGTCACAGCAACACTCACACTATTTAAATACTAAGTTGTATTTAACATGCACTCTGTTTGCAAGCCACATACATGTTGGTTCTGAAGCACAGCTCCCCAGGACACTATATGGTTATTAAGACAGATTTAAATCAAACAGGAAAGGCATTTTGCTTGCTTAAACATGCTGCCCATTAGTGCATGGGTACCACAGCTGTCCCTTCTGAGGCTAGCGGCAGACCTCCCTCTCCTTTACATAGTGTCATTGGATAGCTGGGCTCAGAAGGGACCCCAGGAAGCCCTCCTGTCCCACCACTTGCTCAAAGTCCAGGAGTGGCAGCAGGTGCTCAGCGGTCACCCAGGACCTGGCAGCTCAGAGACAGCCACAGCCTCTGGACCATGACAGTGATGAGGATCTGTGCGAAGGTAGCATCAGTCAGGAGGCATCACCAGTGACCAGCAAACAGGCATCTATCTGCACCCACAGGGCAGGTCATACCCTCACACACATCCATCCCAGAGTCCTGGGGAATACTCTGCAAACAGTTTGCTTTTTCTCTGCAGCTACAGCACAGACTACTCATTTTACGCGGATGACCCAGTTCAATAACCACTGAGAGTTTTTCCTTCTGCTTTTAACAAGCTTGAGACGAAGCATGGCCTTAAACCCCACGTTTGCGTCGGAAGCAGAGCTTTTGGAGAATCCCCAAGCCACTGCGCTGCCCAAGGTAGCATTAGCCAAATCTAAATCACTCCACACAGACTATTTTCCAACCTACTTTTAACTGGTTTCTCAAAGGCTTGGGAACCCACCAGTTATATATTCTATACTTAACCTTGCATCTAAGAAGGTCGCCTAATGTTTAAACTAAATCTTTCCTTTTTTGCAATTTAAAGCAGAAGCTACTTCTGCTATCCACAGTGAGCATGAAGACCATTTATTATCTCTCCTCTTGAAACAGACATTTGTATATGCAACAGGCTGTAACCTACCCTCTCCTCTGTAAACATGAAAAAGCAGACATGGGGTTTTGGGGGGGGGGTGGTTTTTTTTAATCCCTTCCTCTCTCACCCCAAAGCCTCCCCCTTAGGTCATACTTTCTAGACCTTGGGCAATGTTTGTTGCTTTCCTTTTGGACTCTCTTCAACTGAGTCGCATCTCACGGTCCTTCAGCTAAGCCCACCACACCACAATACAAACAAACCAATTTCCTTCTGAATCCAACTTTCAGTGTATTTCTGTGACCAACCCAGTGTGCTGTTGGCTTTTTCCCTGTTGACACACAACAAATGGCTTTTTTCTTTGGTTGGGGTTTTTGTTTTGTTTGTTTTTGAAGATCAGCTCCTTCTTTGCAAAACTAGCCTTTCTTTCTCCACAGTGTATTCCCACAGCTGGCTATTCCCAAAACCCTCCTCTGAATTTGCCTTTACGAGATTACCTCCTGTTTGTTCCAGCCCAGCTCTCTCTTACCCTTTGAGATCACTCTGAATCCCAATTCCACCTTGCGAAGCCTTGTCACCTTGTCCACCCTGGACTGCAAAGCACATCTATTAACAAACAATTAGTCTTATCCACACCATTAATGAAAAAACATTGACCTGGGACAGAGATTGCACACCTCAACTGACAAACTCTGCTAGGCAAGAGCAAGCTATTGGATAAGTACCATTTTCTAAGCACTGCTTTCCACCAGGTTGGCTCCTTACATTAAATAGTTTTATTTAGACTCAAGGTCCCTGCCTAATCTGGAGGCTGGCAAAGCCATACTAAAGCAAAGATTATCACATCCACAACTCCTCCTGATTGACAAAAGCTCTTACACTCTCATAGAAGGAAATTATCAGAAACAAGCTGTGCCAAACTATTACCTACCCTGAAACTGCACATAAACTCAAAAAGTTCCTAGACTTATCTTTTCCCGTATTTTTTTTAAAGGCCGGTATCTTTGCCTTCCCCAGTTTCCAGCAAGAGCTCCTATCCTCTCCACACTCTCTAACAGAAGTATTAATGATTTGCAGGTTGCTTGTCAGTTCTCCAAGTGATCTAGGACAAAGGATGGAGCATCCAGCTTATTTGAAAATGACTCATTACAAGCACTCTTTGGCTTGACCTTTCTCTATTTTCTTTCACTCCTAAATTCTTACCATGCTGTCTCAGTCATTAATTATGACCAGAAGGTCTGCACAGTTAAACTTGTGAATGAAGATTTAAGGCAGAAAATAATTAAAAAACAGCATCAAGCATTGACTCTCTGCCTGAGCAGGGTTTGTTTCTGGGATTTTCTTTAAATCTTTCCAGTTATCTGAAAAGATTCCACATATATGGCTAATACAGTACTCATATCACAGATAGCTGGGAACTAGCCCAAAGCTACCCTCTCCCCAGACCCCAGCGAGCATGGGGGACAACCCATCTCTTCCTGTAACTGGAGGGAGACTGCTACAGTCAAAAATAACCATCATGCAGCTCCCCTCTTTGCGGCATTTACACCACTATCTAAAGCCTGCCAGGCAGATCTCTATTCCAAACCACGGTGAACACTTCTGCCTCTAACAAATGTAGCCAACAGGAACAGGCTGCATGCTCCTCCCTTGAGATCTAGTCCTTAGCAAATGGTGATATTTCCTTATTAATTGACTCAAATTTCTTTCAACATTTTCAGGAGCCCACCTGGATTATCTCCCTTGCTTTCTGCAGTAAGAGAGGGCCCATAGAGGAGTTGGGTTTGCCTTTTTAGGATATTTACTGTTTAAAATGGCAGTGTCTGCAAACATCTCATGAGAACCATTAATTCCTTTCACTCCCAGATTTTTCACTAGGGCACCCAATTTCATATACAGGTTAGAAAAAGCTTCAAACATTTTAGCATACCCAAAACTGGAGAATGTCACCAGCTGGCACCCATCACACTGGAGTCACTACAGAGATGGCCATGCTTAGGAGGAGAGGTTGCTCATTACCTTCACCAGAAACACTCCTACAGACTTCAATAAAATTTGTATTAGTGAGATCCTCCAGTACATTTTCCACAAACTTCTCCTTCCCCAGGACCCTGTACTTGCATGAGGTCCATAAAATCTCCCTCTCCCAAGTTTTTCTAAGGCTCCTGGAAGTTTTATTCTTCCCAATGAATCCAAGAGATAAGTGAAAGGCATCAACAGGAGTAGAGAAAACAACAGAGCTGCTACTGCTCCCATGAATCTTCTCAAAACCAGTTTGTTTCAATAGCAAAAGCACTTCTACCACATGCTGAACATAGCACCATATCTGTAACATTCTCCTTTTGTGCGAGAGAGAAGCAGATGTTCAAATGCCTTCTGCAGTCTATTGTCTGCAAATGGTACGAGCCCATTTGCCTTTATAGCCCCATCATGGTTCCTTAATAACATGGTGTGTTGAAACAGTATTATCCTCCATCCCCCCCTTTGCTATTATTTGGTTGCATCGTTCCCACATGACTGTTTCTATCGCACTCTTTTATTGCGATTGATTACCCATTATATCTGCAGTCACTGAATGTCTCTCCATCTTCACAGAGCAGCTTCTGAGCTGTAATTTCTCAGAGCCCCCAGAACCTACCCAAACATCAGTTTTTGCTTCAGTTGTAGGTCCCACTGATCAGCTGGCACTTAACTGGAGGGGACAGCACAATACCACACCTATCTACACCCTCCCCAGATACTCTGTGGAGGACAAAGATATTTGTTCCTCCTTGTGGCTCATGCCTGCATCCTAGAACAGAAGCCTGCAAAGGGCTTATTGCTCCTTGTAAAGCCAGTAATAAAAGCCTGTTGGCATTGAATTCACAGTTCCAGATATTACTAGATATCCAGAAATACGGATTTTTTCTAAAGCTCTTACATAATCTAAGCTTGGAAGTTCTAAAGAATGTCTGTTTCAGTAAAAGGTACCATTTTCCATCAGACCAGCTGTACCCACAAAAGCTGTAATAGAGGTTTTGTCAGCATAAACCTGTACGGGAAAAGGAAAACCAGTCCTATCGGTGTCTCAAACACTCGTATTGCATGCATACACATGTACCATGGATCAGTAGAGCTGAACTCCACAGGGTGCCCTTTACCTACCTAGTACAAAAGGGTACATCACAAAGCCTATGTGAAGGACACCATCCCAGGTCAGGATACCTGTATACTCTATTAGCAAAGCGCTCCTACGGTGAATGTAGCTACACCTGTAAACCTGGATTTTGTGCGAATACAGCCAGCTCATGCAAGGTTAGACACAGACACATTTTCAGACTGTTTGCCAGTAAAACAGGAACACCACACACAGTTTGCAGAATCACATCTCTACCACCCCGACTCACGCAGCTACGCCAACAGAAATCAAACATTTTCAAAAGTGTTATCTGGAGTCTAGACAAATCCACAGGGCGTCTGGCAGTCTAGAAGTAAGTTGATAGCTAAAAGAAAGATTGTAAATACTGAATTATAGCAAGCCCGTGTCCTTTAATGTTATGAGCTCCTATAGATAATTTATGTTCTTCTTCCTAAGCGCAGCCACGCATTTTTATTTTCTCATGCATCACACCCATGCTGACAGTAAATCTCTATAATATCTAGTCTTCCCTCCATAATAGAAAAACTCATTAATATGCCCCAGCTGCTTTAGGACACTTTCACATGAATTTATGAATATTCAATTTCCATCTAGTGCTCAGCTTCTTTGTGTCCAGCTACTGCTCTCTTAAAGAGAGGCTGCCAAAGATCTCGTAATACTTTCATTAGCTTTGAGCCCTCATATTATGAAATAAGCAATATGTTTAATATCAATAAATCACAGCTCTGGGAACAGCCTCAACTTTCAATAGCCAGTGGCAATTGGAGGCACTCAGCATCTTGCCCGATCAACTTGCAAACACACACTTTGTCTTACAGTAAGCCAGGCCTTTCACACCACAGAAACTTGCTCAGAGCAGCTCTTGTCACCTCAGCACAAGAGGCCTGTTGTTGCCACACTGGAAGCAGATTTCTTGCAAAGTGGAACACACCTCCCAGGAAAAAACTCACAGGTGTAGGCAATTTTTCAGCTCCGATGAAAACTGGCCTGGCAGCAGGAAAACAAATGACCAAGGACAACTGCAAGAGAAGATATCCTCAGCTGTTATGAACAGCCACACACCCCAGGTGAAGGAAAGCATTCAGGGACACCTCAACATTATCAATGCGTTATTCCCCTTCTCAAAGTTGGAGAAACCAAGACAGGGCAAGCGCTCGAGCCACGCTGCAGTACAACAGGATCTGGGCAGCTCCATAAGCGTGCTCCTAACAGCTCCGCTAGTCCTAGCATTCCCATCCATCAGGTCAAGGAGCAAAGCAGCACAGGTCTTAACACTGTGCAAGTCCAGCATAGACCAGGTGCAGGCAACTGTGCCTGGCAAGCTGGAAGCAGCTGCCCTGAGGGGTTGGATCATTTCCAGGTGCACTTTCCTTAACTCTGCAAAAGCCCTGCCAGCACACACCAAGTCACCCACAGGAGTCCTAAGAGCAACAGGACAAGGAGAGAAGTCAGACATGAGTCCCTAAGCAAACACTAAGGCAGATAAATAGAGGAAATGGCATCACTTAGGAGAGGATCCAAAGCCATGGGTACATCTCCAACTGCGAGCCCTATATTGGCTCCCTTCCAGGAAAGAGTACCGTCCTCATAAGCCAGGCTTTCATCCAGCCCAGGAGGACACTGACCTTTCAAGTGGTGAGTGCTGAGCATAATTCTTTTTCATCCTCCACTTCCTTGGAAAAAAGTAATGGGACAAATTTAAAAATGAGTGACCAGCCTGAAAATTGGTTTAAGCTTCTGTAAACCCATCTATCATTCAAGGCACAAGATTTCTTCTAAACTAGTTCCACCAGTGCAGTGAATATTACATAGAGAAAGGAAATGGGAAAGATTGCTGTCAGCAAGATGAAAACCTGAAGCACAGAGCTGGGATGGTAACTGGAATTTACAGTGATGGACCATTAGATTAATGACAGACAGCTGGGGAGAACTAGAGAGAGGCCAGTCTACAGGAGTAATTATATTCTGCTTATCTAAATTTCACCCTAAAATAAAAGCATGATGGTGTCAACATCACTTCCCACCCTAACCTGCTAATTTACTGGGTCCTATTGAAGTGCTGTCCTAAGTATGATGCAGTTCTTACATGCAAAGGATCCCAGCTCTCTGTTGCCAGGCTCCCTGTGCACATGTTTATACTTGTATTGCACAGCTCATCCCAACCAGTGCTAGAGTTCACCATGTGGAAGGAACAGCAAGATAAGTGGCAATGGGAGAAGCACAGCCATGACTTTAAAGGTCCATTGTGATCCCCCAGGGGAAAGGACTGCGCCTGAGACGTCAAAATTCCTGCAGTGTTTTGCACAGCTGATCTCTTCCTACCATCAGCAAAGGGCATTACAGCACAACCAGAATATCAGGACTTACATAGTTTCCATAAAAGCAGCCCAGCCCTCCCAACCCAACACCAACAAGCAAGAACTGAGAGTTTTCCCAGCCTTGTGCATTCAGCTTTGGACTGTAGCTATGCAGCTCCCATGCAGCTGCTGAGCAAGACCAGCCCTTCCCCTCGTTGGCTCTCAATGGGTCCATTTGCCACCTGGCAGCAAGCTGGGACCCTCCTTGCAAAGGCAGCAACATACACAGTTTTGGCCCTGCCAAAGGAGCCAAGCCATGGAGGAGACAGCCCTCCCATGCTGTGGTGCTACAGTGCTTCAATGACCAAGGTGATCATCTGGCATGATGTAGGACAAGAGCGCTAGACCACTTCCTGGGACACTTACCCACTTAGAGGTCTGGTTTTTCTAATCTCGAAGAACTGTGTTCCCGTGTGATTGTATCTGAATTTTGTCTGTTAAAGGAAAGCGACTTGAACAGTCAAACAATAAAATAAAAATGGTCAAAAGGTAAATTTCAGTTCTGATTTCCTGGTGAAACATAAAACAAGTAGTAAAAACTACTGACTCTCAACAGATGAAACCCTAGCATGTGAAATAAAGCAATTTTTTCACTTTCTTTTTATATGACATTAACCAGCATTAGGTGGAGAGTCAAGCAAAAAGGTTGTTTGTCTAAAATGACACTTAAATTTGGCATTTGAGGGTTATCAATTCTCTTTTCTTCTAGGTCCCACTCACTATTAGGTTACAAGTTTGAAAAGAAGTCTCTCATTTGGGCAAGAGAAAGCTTTTAGTCTACCCAAACCAATCAACATCATTCACGGTTTGAAAGAACTTACTTCCGTTATAAGTTTTTGACTCAGTCAGCCACATAGCTCATGTATGACCTGTAAACCAAAAGCACTACAGGTGCATGCATTTACACCTAGGAAATATAAATCATTCCCTAAAAAACACAATGCACTTGAAATGGAAATAACCAGCTAGATGCAACTCAAGAACATTAGTTAACACTATGAGCATAGGAGAAAAGTTAATCACAAAGGATGCCAGCATACAGTCACCCATCAACCAAACCTCAGCACCACTTGCCTAGGAGTGCAAACTACCATGCAGCAGCAGTACCAAAAGCAGCCTCTTCCCTGCTCCTTGAGCTTAGCTGTTCAAGCAGTAATGCAGTAAATCGGATCAGGAAACCAATCTGTCCAGTAAAAACAACACAAACCGTCCCCCTCAACAACAACAACAAAAATCACACCATCCACTTAATTTTGCTAGGTTATTTTTCCAGTTGAATCTGTTCCCCAGCCTGGCTCCCAACATGGCCACAAGAACATTCATGCCAGCAAAATTGTGGCAGTGATACCAGGCAGAAACAGGTGACCCCATGGAGGCAAAGGGTACCTTGCGAGGCATAAATAGCACAGCTGCTGGCTGTATAACCATGGTCTAAATAAAAACTCCAGCTCTCACCAGGATGCTCTGAACTGACTTCACTTAGAGTTCAGAGTTCTCCAGAAATGAGGCTTTGCTTCCCTCCTACCTTCAAAACCTAATTCATGAGGACCTTTCAGAGTGCTCTGAACAAAGCATACAGAGCCTCTTTTAGCCCTCAGAGGAAGCCCAGACCCTGTTCCCCAGCCCACTTTGAAGCTTTTCTGAACACAGACCCAAACCCCATGCCTAAGGCCTGCTCCTGCTACATAGCAGAGTGCAGGATTTCAAAACCACAGTGGGGAGCAGGGGGATACAATTTTTGGAGCTCTGTGTGACATGGTCTCCTCTCCGATACAACCCCACTGAGCCTCTCGTCCTGCCCAAGCAGCCAACAGGCAGAAGAGAAATGTGCCATCCCCCTGCAGAGCAGGCTGGCCCCAGCCTCCCTTCCCAGAGCAGCTGCTGCGGCTCCAACCCCTGCTGCCGCCTTGATCCCAACCACTACTCCCCAGAAGGCTAACCGAGCCAGCTATTTTTGGATGCTCTTCCAGCTGCCACCCATATCCTTTCTTAATCCTTACCAGGACTTTACATTCATTCCTCATCCCCACTGCTTCCCCCTACACACACATGCACACACACAAAAAGGGAGAGTTTACAAAAAAGGAAAAGCAAGAGAAGAGCAGCATCTGGACCAGCAACCATCTCCCCCAACATGGTCTGTCAGCAATGGAAATGGTCAGGTATTAGGCATGGGGCAGCAATAGGGAGGCTGGATAGATGCGTACATCTCTGATGAAGCCCTAAAGCAAGGTGGGACATCCAGAAGGGGATAATTCCTTTGGTCAGCTCCTGTGTCACAGGCAAGCCTGCCCACCTCAGGGTCACGACAGCTGTTTGTGCCCCCATCCCAAAGACAAACACTACCTGCAAGCTGAGCACGTACGCAGTACTCAGGGAGCCTGCAGGGGCTGCCAGGGCAGAGGGAGAAAGGGTTTGCCACAACACCGGCTCTCCCTTAGTTGCTTTACGACAAGATGCCATATTATTTCTCCAGGCATCACCATCCGATCATAATATCCTCATAAACCGACTTCAAAATAAGCATTTCTACTCCCACCAACATCACTTCAGTTAAATTCTTCGGTATCATTTAAAGTTAATTACATCTCCCAGAGGACTGCTGTGACAAGCTCAGTGCTGCAGGTGCTATCACAAATCCTTAGAGGTGTCCTTTCACCCCCAAATGATCCCAAGCCCTTGAAACCAGCTAGTGCTTTGGTAAAGCCCCTGTTAATTCATGCCAGGCACAAGCCAGACTTCTCTTTCGAGACTGCACGCTGGAGAAGGATACTGCAGCATCTTCATGTAGGTCTGTATTGCCTGGAGCCATTCTGGGATCGACATGGAGAGCTTGTAGTTTGGCACTGGTGGCACTGAGGGCTGGACACAAAAAAAAAAGATAAATAGGTTAGACAGTTACCGCTCCCTGCAGAGCGGATAAGTGATTTACTTGGGCAGCAGCATGTGCTTAGTGCAACGCAACGCAGCAACACAGATGGCTTAAACCCCACGTGAACTCAAGCATCAGCAAAGTCAGCCTGCTGACAATGAGGGCTGCCATGCACCAGAGCCAGCCTCATCCCTGCCAGCATGGAGAGGCCAGGGCAGGCCCCCATCACAGCAGGCTGCTTGCCACGGCCACTGCTGTCCCTCAAACACCACCCTACAAGGGCAGGCGGTCTAGCGCAGAAGGCCAATGCTTCCCTTTTTTCCCCTCTAGCACAGGGCAGTTTGGATGAGCAGAGTCCCAGAGCTGGTTCTGCTGTCCTCCCTCCCCCAGAAAGCCATTTCAAGTCTAATTTTTGGTTTCCTCTACCACAAGAGAAAGATAAAAGGAGACAAGGATCCTGGGCTGCATAATTTCCCATCTGCCACTTGTCAGCAGCACACTTGCTGGGCAGGAAGCACAGGGTACCTAGAAGACCACCTGAGACCCAGATATTTAATGATATTAAGACACTTAAAGATATAGACTGGCAACATAATGGGATTTTTCCAAAATCCCATAAGACATCTGCTTGTGCCTAAGCACTTTTAAGAAACCAGGCCCTCAATCCATATTTAATCCCCTCAGCTACATGGCTCCTGAGCCTGTAACCATGCAGGAAAGGGGCATGGCCTTGTCCCAAGTCCCCTTATTTTAGGGGCAAGACTGCAAAACATAGGGTCGGCAGGTGTTAAAGTGGGCAGCATGGCTAAAAATAAGCTAGTACAATTCTCACCAATGTAGCGGAGGAAACAGTTTATTTAAATATTAATGCAGACCCCAATTCAGGAACCAGCAACTTGGGCAGCTGTGACGCAAAGCGCAAAGGAAAGCGTGTGGCATCTGCGGGCCCATGACGTCATTACAATAGTTTGAAGATCACTTTTCAAGTCAGCAATTACAGATAAAAAAAAGCAAGTTCAGGCCATATGGGGCCATGTCCACCACACAGACTTTCTTCTCTGCTTCTCACCTCCAGTAAGATGGAGGGATTGCGTGTTTGCTTTCAGAGAGCAAGAGCCAATAATCCCAAGATGACCAAAACCCAGCATTTACTACATGTACCTAATTACTAGAGTCAAATTGTAAATACACCTCAGAGAAGGGAAAAAACCAAAATAGAGACTTGTACATTAGTGGCACACAGAAATGTGTTTTAAGTGGCATGGCAAGCAGACATATGTCCAGGCCTCCAGCTCGCTGCTGCCATCCCCAGCGCCACATGGGAGACAACCAGCACACGTACACGGGTTTTCTCTCCTCACAAGTGGGAGTTACAAGACAGACTCATTAGTGCTTCTTAATCACAATTTCCACACCTAAGCTCTTCACTAGAGGCAATTTTTCTGTTTCACAAGTTCCTTCCACCCCTGTCCCCTTTGGCCTGGATGAATTATTCACCTGTCCCTCCTGGCACTAAGGCAGGCCTGGACTCAACGCACCAGACAGGGCTTGAGTTTCAGGAGCAGCAAGTGGCTGAAAGAGGGAATCAAGGCAGGCCTGTCAAATCCTTCCAGGGGTGGTCATTTCTGCTCTGATATAAACACTCCCTTTCTTCATAGATAAAGAAACTCTAGGTGCACGCATTGCGCTTACATGACACAACATGCCAAGGCAATGGGAGTCCCAGCCAGTGAGAGGCCTGGCTGCTGCAGAGCAGCTGGGGGGGATAGCACCCCTTTCCCAGCCCTCTATAAAATGGAGGCCCCTGCCCTTGCCCAGCTGCAGGACAGGACAGCATCCCATAGGGACCTCACCAGTGCGGAGGGATGCAGCCCTTGCTGTAACCCACAGCGGCCACCCTCACCCGTGCTTCCCCATCTCCAAGGTGGAGGATAATCATGTCAGCCACCGGGATCACTTGGGTAAAGAGAACCAGGGTTTTGCCAACAGCTGACACATATCCCATCACCTGTCTGTTAAAGTTACCTCGGCAGACCTGCCAAGCCAGCAGGCCCAAGGCCCTTCAGATCTCAGGCAACGTGGAAGAAGCGGCCATCGGTCTTCCCCCGTGCAGGATGGCACACTGCTCTCCTCTTTCCAGTGCCGGGTGGGCAGTACACGGCACCATGCCACCAGCCAGGCCAGGCAGCGGACAGCCACCCGCCACTCCCACTGCCTCCAAACAAAGCCCATTTTTTTCATCCCCCAGATTTCTGCCCTGGCTGCAGGAGCACCGATCCTGGGCACTCAGCCAGCACAGAGCAGAAGCCAGGGCTGCACGATACCACAGCAAAGGAAAGCGCCACGTTGTTGCGGTTGAGGCTGCAGCCCTCCAGCTACCAGTGCATGTCCCAGCTCAGCAGCCAGGAGCCCACGAGGGTTTGTAGCGGGAGGCCAGAGCCGCCAAGAGGAAATGCAGACACAGCACTACACACCATGAATTTGTAAAGCCAGTTAAATTCAGAGACCAGGCAGTTGAAAGGCCTTGACCCTGTATTAGTATTTCCAAGCAATGGCCGCTGCAGCACAAGACCTTGTGGCAGAGCGGGAGACCGTCATCCTGTGGCTGGAAACACTGTAGTCTCAGTTCACCACAGACATCCTGTGTGAAACTCATCTTGCCTGACGCCACTGTGTCTCATTTAATGACCAGAAAGTCATTTTCTGCTAGCTTGCCCTGCAAGTATGCTGTTACCTAGCACGGATGAAGCTGGCAGTCTAGAGCCCTCACAGCTAGTCAGAGGTTCAATTCATTAAGATCTACAAGTATCTCCAAGATCACAGGCCACATAAAGGACTGCACAGCCCTTCCAAACCTGGAGCCCGCACCCTTTCCAGAGCTCAAGCCAAAAGTCAGGCATGTGGGGTGCAACCAAGGGACCCCCCCAGGTTCCAAAATTGCCCCCCTTGCAGACAAACTGTTTTTTTTGTGAGGACTCTTCCTCCCCAGGAGAGATGCAGCCCTGCGGTTTCCATTTGTTCCAGTAAGGACAACCTTGCCAATACAGTAAGAAGCTACTTACTGCCCTGCATGTATGATCGCTGACACTAATACCAAGATGATTAGAGCCATCAAGTGGAGCTTCTTGGGGAGGGGATGAAAACTCTCTCCCATCACCAGGGATTAAGAACAGATCAGATGTAAAAAATGGAGCAGCTGCACACACCAGTCGCTCAGCCTCCACCAACTACCAATGCAAGCAGATTACAAGCCATCTTCTCACAGGCATGAGTTTCTCTCATCACTCCCCATCAGCACTACCTGGTCTTTTGCAGGGTGCCACATACCCAGCAGCACAAGCCAATTAAAAAAGCTGTACCATCATTTAAGGAACAACTCTCCCTCACATTCCTACTCAAACCCAGAAATTACCATCACAACCTTAGCAACCCACTACCACTTTGCAGCAAACCAACCTGCTCCTAACCTTCACTTGCTCACCTGGGATGTGTTAGCCTTAATAAGGACCCTCTGACCCCAGAGGTCCCAGCAAGAGGGAGCCAGCAAGAATTAGTTAGTCACAGGGAACACCAGGCCCTTCTACCCTTGAAGAAGTTAACCACTATGACAGGGAGTTTGCTGCCAGACAGTGCAGGAGGAACGCAGGACAACTCTTACAGCACCCTCCACTGATCAGCCACTAGTAACTAATATCAGATGATTTAGCCAAGCAGATTTCAAAATATTTTTCCTCCTACCCAGCTTCAGCACATGCCACACTGAGTCAACCTCGTGCTTCAGCACTGAGGAAGAAGCCACGGGCAATGCTCTCTGGGGCACTCCGGCAGGCAGCATGTCGGCACATTGGAGCCACTGGCATGTCTCTCACCTGACGCTTTGTCAGTCACTACGGGTATCACCAGTAAAAGTTACATGCTTTGGAGCTGGGAAGTAAGGGAAGGAAATCAAGTCCAGCGTGTGTTTTGTCATCTCTTAACACCAAACAGATCTGTAGGCCATTTAGACTAGTGTAAGCTGGTCATGCTGCTGAAACAAGAAGTTCTGCCTTGCCCCTGCCCCTTCATTTCTACCTCAAGCGCTTCTGCAACTATGAGATGAACCACACCAAGGAACCACAAGCAAACCCAGCATAACTAGATTATTCTTTAGCTGAATCTGCTCCCCCATCCAAACAAAGGCTGGTGCCGGCACAAGGGAAGCAAGGGAATGGAGAGAAAGAGATTGCCCCTTTTGCACTTAACGCTGAACTAAACATTACAGAAGAGAGATGACAGGCCTTTTCAGCCTGCATCTCATTTGACAAGCACCTTCGCAAGATGCCCTACTCACTATACTTTCAACCGCTCCGTGCACAGAATTTTTCCTTTCTACCCCACGTAAAGAACAAGCATACATATCACTGACAACCAGGACGGTGACAACGCCAGCCCAACCATCTCTCACCCCAGCACGCAGACGGGTGTGAATCAACACCGGCTTCAGCGGTCAGCTCAGATTAATGCTGCTTGGTGGGAGGAGTGAATCAAGCTCAAAGTCTGCCAAAGCTGACAGCATTCAAGACTGTGATCAGTAATGCAGCGCAGTGGTGAGAAGCCTTGGAGCATCAGCAGACAACAACATTTTATTTGCTGGCTGGAGGAAAAAAGACTTGGGTCAGGCAGAGCTGTTTGGAGCTTGTATCAAGGAATGTACAAGACAAAAGCGTCTGGAATCTTTCCACGTACTGGAAATGAAACGTCTGAGTTTTAAATCCCGTATTACATTTCAGGAGCAAGGCTGTGTTTTAAGAAATGCCTGTGTTCCAAAGAGCTGGGCAAAACGTGCTTTAAATCGCACAAAGCGCTTCATTCAATCTCTGAAGATGTCTTTTTTTCTTGTTTCCCGCTTCCCCCTCCCCAAGATCAGAAAATAATTTTCTTCCTCCTTGCTTCCCAGGGCACCAACTCCAGCTCCTAAGCATCCCGCGGCACCATACCCGTTGTGTCTCTTTTCGAACGGCAGGCGCTCCCGCCCTCCCCTCGCTGCCCCTCGCAGCGGGCAGGGGCCGAGAGCACCCTCGGGGCCGCGGCGCGACGCCCTCCTGCCCGGCCCTTGTGCGTCCCCTCCACGCCCACAAAACCGGGCAGCCGCGGGATGTCTGCCCCGGGGCTTTGTGGCAGCCCCTCTTTTTTTAAGGGGGGGGGCTTCGCCTTACCCGAGCCAGGCGGGCGGCGCTCCGGATGGCCGCCGCCACGGCGCCGCCGTCGGGGTGCACCCGCTCCACGTGCCCCCACATCCGCTCCCAGGTCTGCCCGTCCATGGGGAAGCCGCTCTTGTTCACCAGGAAGAGCGACCCGCCGTCCCGCTGCTCCTCCTCCTCCGAGCCGCCGGCGCTTT